CACTGTACTGTATATTCTTTGAGAGGTTTGTACCATTACTCGTATCACTAATGCCATATATTTTCCAGGACTCATGTAATGCCATGTTTGCATTATTGTATAGAAAATATATGTATGATAGGACCCCTGTATCTGCAGGGAATCAATTCCAAGCCTGTCCCAGGATGCTGAAAAAGGGATATTATTACAAACACTGTAATAATCATGAATGGTCTTTGTCTCTGTCTAGTGGCCACGTCTGGTAACTTCATGGTTCGAAATATATATTTTAGGGATTTTTCTTTTAATATTTTTAATATTTTAATATTTTCCGATCGTGGATACGTGAACCATCAGATACTGATACCAAGCACAAAGGGCTACAGCGATTTTGCTGGAACAGATTATCCTTGTCAAGCGAGGCATCACTGTACTGTATATTCTTTGAGAGGTTTGTACCATTACTCGTATCACTAATGCCATATATTTTCCAGGACTCATGTAATGCCATGTTTGCATTATTGTATAGAAAATATATGTATGATAGGACCCCTGTATCTGCAGGGAATCAATTCCAAGCCTGTCCCAGGATGCTGAAAAAGGGATATTATTACAAACACTGTAATAATCATGAATGGTCTTTGTCTCTGTCTAGTGGCCACGTCTGGTAACTTCATGGTTCGAAATATATATTTTAGGGATTTTTCTTTTAATATTTTTAATATTTTAATATTTTCCGATCGTGGATACGTGAACCATCAGATACTGATACCAAGCACAAAGGGGTCGCACTGTACTGTTTCTGTCTGTATTGTCTTTAAAAAGGCATCTATCATTTCTGCCCTGGCTTTGTGATGGCACATTTGGTGTTATTCACAGCTGCCCATTTGCAGTTATTTGTATTTGCACTGGTTCTCTGTTAACCTTTTTTGGTATGGTGTATTACAAAATATCAGACCTAGCTCCGAGGAAAAAAAACAATCTACCTCCCGAATGTATTCTTCTTGCTCCTCCTTGAGGGTCAGCAGGATGAATATCTGCTGGAGTTTCTCATTACAGTAATTGATAATGAACTGCTCAAAGCTGTTGTTCTGCAAAGAAGAATAAGCCAAAGACAAACGATAAAGCAAAATATGGATAACAAAATCAACCAAGGGACTGTGTGGTTAAAGGGTGAGCAGTGATATATGGCTCCTCCAATTTCTGGACTTTAGGACCTAGTATCCCTTCCCAGAGGCCATCTGAATGGAGCTAATAAGTGTCGGTCTGAATGGCTCCAGTTTCCCCACTTCAGATACGTGAGAGATGCAGCAACTTTTCCAGTCCTGACACTCTCCTCTGACCTTTCCCCAGCAATGTAGATTCAAGTTCCTGAAAGAGCTCCTCCATTTAAACACACACTTTCAAGTCCCAGTGGGCCTATTAGCTCCACATCCACCACTCAAAGTCTTTATCAAACTCCTACTTGAATAATAAATTCCCAGCCGTATCTACCACTCACCTGAAAAATCTCAAAGCCATAAATATCCAGAACACCCATCACTTTCTTACGCTCAGTGGTTGTCACCTAAGAAAAGAAAGAGCTGGTGATTATCCGTTTCAGTGGATCGGGCTACCCTGAAAGCATTCATATGTCCCAATTTTCCAAGTCATTTAACTTGGAACAGCTACTATCCCCTTTATTCACCTCTCATTAAGCATAGCAGAAACAAAACACAGACCTTCTTGAATAATTCTAGCAGAATACCTATCAGACGTTGTCTTTATTCATGCAAAGGCAGTCTAAAGGGAGCTGCAGGATACGTCTAATCAGATAAATGCAGCTACCACACACACTCACCTTGATGCTCTCATTGATCCTGTTAACGAGCCAGTTAAATAGCCGATTATAAATGTTTTTTCCTAGGGCATCTCGAGCATAGTAACCCTAGGATCCAAAACGGAAAAAGTCAGACCATGAAATACAGCTAGTTCAGAAAGATAAGGATGCTGCATTTTATTGGTTACATTACACTGAGGCAGCCACACTGAGTGAAGTAGGACCCACATATCTGTGAGGGTTGGTTCCAAGCCCCCCCACAGATGCTGAAAACCGCAGATAATAGCAAATGCTATATATATAGAATAGCAAAAGAAAAGATTTCAGAAATACATATTTTCACCATGCATTATCAAAACTGCCTACTAGAGGGAGCCAGAGACCATACTATGTACTCTTCAGCAACAAGTAAATACAACAAAAATATTTATATCTAGGCTTTTTTTCTTTTAATATTTCCAGACCACAGATAAGTGAAGCCACGAATACCAATCCCACAGATATGGGGGTCCTACTATACTGTAAAGCAGTCAAGATTTACTTCCCCCCCCCTTACTTCCAAATAAGCACATAGCATTCTGGTTCATTATCTGAACTAGAAAAGGTCCACACATGGGTTAGAGAGATTTGAACTTCAGCCCCCTTCAGACAGATTTTCCCTTTACTGTAGTTATCTGATCACACTAGGAGGGAGTAAGAAACTATATATTTAGGAAACAGTAGCAGCTGAGTTAAAAGAATTCACATCTCCATTCTCATAGGAGAACAATTAGGTTTTCATTCACTTTCACTTTAAGGAATTTCCAAGGAAAGGAATTCAATTAAGAAAGTGCCAACCGAAAAAAAAGGGCTTTACTGTTTTGTTCCATTGGGCTGACACTTTGGGGTTGCTACCTTTTATACTATAGCATTTTGTTTTCATGAATACTTCTGTGTTTGCAGTGGACTGCTACAGGCGAGCTCCAGCATGGAACCAAATATGCATGACAGAAGTGGCTTGAAGTGTGATGACCATATCAAACAGAAGACAGGGCTCCTGTGCCTTTAATAGTTGTGTGTGGAAAAGGGAACTTGTATGGAAGTTGCACCTGCTCCATCTTCTCCTTAACTATTAAAGGTACATGAGACTGCCTTTTTTTTTTCATGTGATCACCATAACTAGGAACTAGCATGAGCCTAGGACACTGAAGGGGTCGAGTCTCTTGCAAACTAATTTTTATTTCTCCTGGAACGCAAGCTACTGAATGGGGACCACCAACATATCAGGGTCATGTACACATAGGAACCCATACTTACTTGTGAGATATTCAGGGATGTCACCACCTTCTCCTGACGGGCCTCCACCGTGCGAAAGCACAAGGCTTGCTCTAGCACAGATTCATCCAGCTGGATCAGCTGGCAGATTTCCTGCCTCACTGCCAATGAGGAAAGGGAAGGGAAGGGAAAGCAAAAACAGAACTCCTGTTCATGTTTTATATTGATAGTGGTCACATATAGGAAGTCAAAAAGACTCTGAGGACCAAGGATTTACAAGAGGAGAAGGCAACTGGTTTGGCGGAGGATGCATCTGGCAACCATCAGTTTGTGGATTGTATGGCATGGACCTGGTGGCAGCTGATGCCAGACAGCTCATGGACTGACAGCAGATGTACGCAGGGCTATCCTACACAGCCTTCTTCCTCGCAATCTGTTATAGGCACATTCATGGAGGAGAGGTAGAATGTGGGAAAGAGAGCATTAATCCAGCCTATGTGCCCTCCTCTCTGCCAGTGCTTTCCCAAAATATGTTGCTACCCAAAGCAAGGTCCAAGATGATTCCTCATCTGATACTATGTTCAATAGCTGACCCAAAGGGCAACTGAATGCCCTTTTATGACAGGGCACCACGGCATCAGAGGGTAGTGGGCCAGCTTAAGGAGCACAGAGCAGGCGATGTGGTGTATACAGCTCTCTCCTCCAACACGTCGCTATATTTTGCTACCCCCCACTATCTGCTGACCCAGGCCTTGACGGCAGGCTCTCATGTCAGGGTTTGAAATTTTGTAGGTGTGAAATGTTGGAGAAATGCAAGGGGTTTTATAAAAAGCAGCTCTGAGAACAGAAATGTGTTTAAAATTACGATATAGAATAGTTTGACCCTAAAGTCAAACAAGCCAGCTCTTCAGCCTGCAAGATCACAGATATATACCATTTTTGGTAGCTGAATGTTGTTGTTCATATAAAAAGGCATTTATGTGTCCTATAGTACACCCTACTGTGATTGTAATAATATGATCTTGAAATAGTCTAGAATCCTGGAAAGATAGCCAAGATAAAGGAGCAAAGGATCTCAGGAGAACACCATTAAAGGAGTGAATACTCTGCTGGGGTGCAGGTAAGAATTTTCATTTCTGTGTGTGTGATTTCATATTTGCTAATGCTCTAATATAGGATATCTTTCATAGATGTGACTTAAATGAGAGTTAAACTCCCGCAGCTTAGAAAATAAGTCTTTGTAATATGTTCTAATTTTAGTCTTATGTATTTTATAACATTTTGAGCTACAAATATATTATTCTACCTTTAAGCATCTTATTAATTTCATTAGAGCAATTATTATTAATTTCATTAGAGCAATTTTTATTGGCAGATGCTACTATTGAAATTATTATTGCTTTTGAATTGTGGTGCTGGAGGAGACTCTTGAGAGTCCCTTGGACTGCAAAGAGATCAAACCTATCCATTTTGAAGGAAATCAACCCTGAATGCTCACTTGAAGGACAGATCCTGAAGCTGAGGTTCCAGTACTTTGGCCATCTCATGAGAAGAGAAGACTCCCTGGAAAAGACGCTGATGTTTGGAAAGTGTGAAGGCAAGAGGAGAAGGGGACGACAGAGGATGAGATGGTTGGACAGTGTCATCAAAGCTACCAACATGAATCTGACCCAATTCTGGGAGGCAGTGGAAGATAGGAGGGCCTGGTGTGCTCTGGTCCATGGGGTCATGAGCAGTCAGACACGTCTTAACGACTAAACAAACAAAAAATATTGGAAACATAAATGGGGGCTGGCCAATAATCTTAATTGTGACTGTGGGTATGTCCCGCAAACGTGACATCCCAATGTGATGGAATGCCCTCTTAGAAGGTTCCCTGGCTCCCTGCAAAAACTTCATCCTCTTGAGGGCACTGCTGTTCAGTGGTTCAACGATTTAGATATCCAGCCATAGGCTTAGTTGCTCTAGCAACTGCTCATAATTTACTTCACTAATTATTTTTTGGATATGTTTTTGAATATCCGTTTTTCAAATACAGTCATATATTCATTTATATCTGCATGCATATACCTGTTCAACAAAAGGGAAAAAAGGAGAGACCTTTTGGACATTCAACGTTATCCATCTTGCCAATGGCAAACAAATTAGAAGGATATTCAGAAGAATCCTTTGTCCCCTTATGTTTAAAACAATCCATCCTTCCCCTTTAAGAACTGGCCCACATCTTACTGGCAGAGGGCAAGGGCATGCAATATTTTTGGGATGATTCCTTGAGATGCAAGATACTGTAGTTCTTTGTTCTGCCTTTGCAGATGAGTACCAAGAGTTCAAATAGATAAGGACC